GTCAATTCAAACTTATAACACATTTTTGATGAAATTTCAATGAGAAATTTAACAGTTTATTTTGCTTTCACTTTAAGATTTGGGTTTAGAAATTTTGTGATGCTGTAGTTGAACATTAATGATCCTAATGATTTCTTATATTTACGCGAAACCTACACATTTAAATAAAACTAATTATACGCGATAAAATCCGTAAAATTAGTTTTATTTAAATTAATGATCCTTATAAAAAATAATAAAGACACTTTAATAAACGAAATAACTTTCTTGAATAAAATATTTTGTTTGATTTGAGATTTAGTGATGAATGGAATTATATACAATATCGTATTGGTCCTTTGAAAGCATTTTATCAAATAATTAACGAACGTTTTTTTTATTTTTTATTTTATTTTTTTATATAAGAGGGGGCAAACGAGCATGCGGCTCACCTGATGGTAAGTGTCAACCGCCGCCCTTGAACAACTGCAACACCAGGGTTCAAAAAAAGCGAAGGTTCTTTTCTTGAAGATCCCTAGGTCGTATCAGTTCGGAAAAATCAAAACATTATTCACAATATTATATAATGGATAATACGGTGAAATAGGCTAAGAATATAAATAGTAATAATAAAATGTGGTGGAACAATGTTGCAGCATTTCAGGACTACAACCCGATAAGTTCACCTCGACTAAGGAAGGAATGCTGAAAAGTACATCACTCAGCATTTGTTTGGGTGAAACCACAGCACTGATTTTCAGTGATGGCCGTGTTTACATCGAGCGCTTAGCATTTGAGTTAGAACGGGACTTTATTGACAGGCCACGAACAAAGTTAAAACCCAATTTAGAAAAAATCCTAAGACCCTAAGAGGCTTTTGAAACATTCTTTATAATTAATCAAGTTTATGTATTCTCTTTTTTTTACATAATATTAACTACTGCCCGATATGGACCTATGTACTGCGATATGCCATATCCCAGATAATTACAGACAAGATATTCTTAATCGAGTATTAATGTAGATGAATAAGGGTCTCCGCACACCACGTACACAGTGGACTGTGTACTCGTTTGTCACTCTTATTCTATAAAAAATATTTGGCACCTTTTACCGTTCTCCCGTCATCGGAATTCGTGTACATCGGGTGTGGACAAGTTAGTTAAAACGCCATCTATCGGAAGCTATGAAAACTTACTGAGGTTTACCGAAGACGCTTTCACAACACACACATGATAAAATGGGGCGATGGGTTCTCTTACACCGCCACCAATCGGCCAACATACATCTACTAAAATCTAGCTCTAAATTTAGTGAAAGGAAAAAGGATAATCTCGCGCCGGCTAAGGTGCTCAACGGGGGGAACGGTTAAAACTTCATGTTGTAGTACAAGGCTATTCTATACCGCAGTACTTCGGAACATTGATAGCGTGATTTAGGTTTCGGTGTGTTTCGCTTGTGGCGCGACAACAGCGCCGCCACATTTACATACTTATTGTAAAATGCGTATCTGAGCGTTATATATTTCGAGGTCATATTAAATCCGCCAACATACGCACTGGAGCAGTGTAATGGAATAGTCAATTCTGCTACTTAACTTTTCAGCAAGCCTGTACCCAAAACTGAGACACTTATGGGCTGTATTTTTACTTTTTTCTCAAATGTATCTGTTACGGAAAAAACTTTTCAAATAATAGTTTTATTGAATTTGGCTTGACATAAGATGATATGACTGATTTAAACTTCATTATTGATTACATTGTCTTATCATAACCCATTAGTACCTACTTTTAGTCACTGAATTAACGTATGTGATTGGAGAAACAAATAAAAATGCTTTATCTATCTATTTTTATATAGTCATCCATCAGAGACTCGTATTCGCGACTTTAATATATATAACATTTGCTGTACTTATGTCATTAAATAAAAATATTTTTCTTAAAATTCATTAGCGGTCTAATAGGCGGTTATGCTAATTAATACTACGTGGATTATATATATATATATATATATATATATATATATATATATATATATATATTTGCGTTCAGTTCCACAGCAAGATTTTGTTTATAGTCGATAAGTGTCTAAGCTAAAAGCTTTTAAAAGGGATTTGGGTTCAAATAACAAGTTTACGCAAGCTTTAATCGTTAATGTTTTGGCTGGATTTCATCGTTTAAACTAATGGACGGAGATGTTAGTTATCGAATGAGTTTGATTTTTGTCGTTGTAACTTTTAATAATATACATTTAAATAGTGTCGTATGTTGGCGGCCTAAGACAAGATAATTTATACGTGATAGTGTCATGCTGCCGCTATATAATAGCTTTAGAAGGAATGGGTAGGTGCAAACAAAGAAAGATCACGCCCTTACTGAACACCAGCGTTAAATAGCAGCTTAAAGGCTTTCGTATGGCGAGTGTAGAGAACCAGAGAGCCTTTTTACTGGAAACGAGGCATTCCATTTTAATCCTCAAGGGTGAGAGAGCATCTGAATTTTAATTCATAATCAAGGATAGATTTGGTTGTTAATGGGTCACAGCATCCAATTTCTATCAGGTAGACTGTATGCTAATTTTCGCTCTTATTCTATAAGAAATCCATCCCTCAAGGGGTGGCAACGCACCTGCACTTTGATTTTATATGTTTACTACGCGTTCATTTCGAGTTTGCCGTCGCCGACCGTTATGACGTAACAGCTGACGGTACCGTCGACAAAACTATTATTGTAAGTGTTTTAATTATTGTATGAAGTTAGTTTTTTAGTTTGTTGTCCTGTACAGAGAAATGGAGGGCAAGCAAGTAGATAAAATGCATATTATTGAATAATTTAATTAGTTAGCAAAGTAAAATAATAACACTGAATAGAAACGTGTCCGATAAAATAAAATATTTTTACTAAAGTTTTATTATATATTCTAAATAAATTATTTACGAAGACGCGAAAAAAAAACTAGCAGGTAATTATTAGTAATCCATAACTTCCATACCAGTTATTTTATCTAAATCGTTCGTCCTTGTATCACTGCCATCACTACATTCTGTGTTTATCACAAATTAACGAACGTAAAAAGTCAACCGAAACAAAAAATTAACAGTAACAAAAATAACAACAAAAACAGTAACAAACAAGAGATCGCACTAGAGCACAAACAGTAGAGACATTCATTGAGGCGCGGTATGAGGGAGCGCAGCGGGAGCTAACGGCATTCATGAAGTGAACACGTAGTATATGTATATAACGCGATAAGAGTATCTTCGTCAATGGCAAAGTGATTTTAAAAATTATTTTTTTACTTTATTTTTTAAATAAAACTGTATTTTATTTAGTTTAATTATATACAATATTAAAAACTATAATAATAATAAAAAGAAAAACTAAAACTAGAAACTTAATTATCATATAGTCCTACTCCTCGCGGTATCGTGCCAAGAACGCTGGCTGCGTTTCCCCACTGAATGGCTATACTTAGCCTTTGAGCGAGAAAAGAACCAGCCCTCTTATCACCAGCAGCAATGACCAGCCGCGGATGAAGTTCCTTTAAGAACTTCACCGCACGTGGACCCCACGGACCGATAGTCTCTACAGCAAATGGCACAAATATGTAGTCATCTCTCGGGAACTCATATTTGCGTCACTTACTCAGTTCAGCTGCCTCTGATGCCGCCCCGGCTCTAAACGAGGTACCCCTGAGATGAGAGGCCGCCAGAGTGTCTACGCAAGTAGCATCCCACACTAGGGCTTTACCTCTCTCCCAAGGGACCAATGTCATACCGTCGGGTCTCCTGCCATCGTCTCTAAATATTCCACAAGGCTCTAAAACCGAGGGAACATTTATAGAGACAAGAGCCCTTTGGATGACATCGTTCAAAGAACTGTGTCGTGAAAACCTACCAGCGCTTTTCTTACATAAAAGTTCGTGGAGCCCAAACTTGTCGACGCTGCTACCACAGGGGCACTCATGGGGTTGACAAAGCGCCGCTCCTAGTCGGATTCCTACGGCAATACGCAAGTTTTCCCCATCAAGTAATCTCGGCACATTAAAGCACAAAAATTATTAAAGCGTGTACCCAGTGACTAGATTCCTTAGTCGAAACAGCAAGAAGGCGTGCTTTATCTTGGTCACTATGGAAATTATGACACAAATCTTTCTGCACGCCCCGTACCAACGGAATATCCCACTGTTTTTGTTGGTTAACTTCCACTGGAACATTTTCATTGGGACAGAGCGTTTGCCATGTTTGCCCTGCCTCCGTAGCAAAGCATAGGTCTACTTTATTATTTACTATTTTTTACTTAATAGATTATATAACATAAGTTTGGCAAAATAGGAAATGAACTTTTTCATGTAAATAATTATATTCTAATTAGACGATATTGAAATTGTGATGTTCCTTATCCCACTCAAAAGGGTAAAAAAATAACCGACTACAAATAATTGAAAATAAAATCAAACAATTTCACATTCTGAAGTCTGGGCTTTAATATTTTCATAAACACCGTGTCGTAAGCACTTATATTATTTTAGAGTTCTTTGATTTTTTATTAAAAAAAAGCAGCAAAGTCTATTTCACATGCGTTTTGGCCAAAAAGAACTCATTTCCACACAACCATGATGTAGTAAGCTGAAGTGACAATGGAGCGCCCGTATAGCTCGAATAACCACCAAGTGATGGGGAAGAAAATTTCTCTGTAGGGCCGCCCACCACTAGATAGAGTCTGGTAACACATGCAGGAAGTCTATGGACGCAGGTGTCTCAGCATGTAGTACATGTACAGTACCATGGTTTGTAGCATTCCTTGGGGGAGGCCCATGTTCAACAGTGGGCTTGTGAAGGGCTGTAATGATGATGATGATATAATGATGACGATGATATAATGATGATGATAAGGTAGTGTAAGTGGCGTGTTTTTTATATTCTGGTATCCCCAGTAGGCCTAATCCACATGCAATGCACTATGATGCTCTTCAAGATGACGCGAGCGGCAATTATACGATCTGGCAAAATTGAAATTCTAAAAGAATACATGAAAATGTTTAAAATTACACATTTTCAAAACTCCCGGAAAACTTTTAAGATAACCTCTCTTTAGCACCAAATGACTATACTATTTTATACTAATAATATTTTCAAGAATAAATCACGACGCTGATGTAAAAACATAAGTCTCCTAGAAAAGGTCGCGTAGGCTACTCGCCAGGCTTAAGTTATAGATTGCCCGTATTGCTTCTTTTTGCAAACTTTAAACTTTATTATTGACGATGGACTTAGATTGTAATGGATGAATGAATATTGATCACGTTTATGGCTGTAAGAGCTAAGATCCATTTGGCTTCCCTGTACAAGGAAAAGGTCGTTTTCTAAAGTTCTTTGTTAATATTAGTGACAAATTAAAAAGACACGAGCTTTCAATTAATATATTTTACCCAGCTAGTGAAACTGATTTCTCGGATTTTCATCTCAGTGTAAATTTTAAAAATCACGGATTTTATTGCACAAGATCACTACAATGACACTGCACTCTCCATTTTATCTATCGTGTCTGTGGGTAGTATGAGTTATCGGTAAAGTTAAAACACAGCACCTTTGACGATCTGAGGTTTATTGTAGTGCCAGAATTCTCGCCGTCGGATTCGATGTGATGAAATCTGGCCCTATTTCTATGAAGGTTTTTTTGTTTTCCACTTTAATGACTGCATAAGCGTCATCCGTATGACGTGGCATTATTTAATCGTAGAATTAAAATACGAAGAGATTATTACTCTTTGTTTGCAAATAGTTAAAAAAAATATTTAAAAATTAAATCTAGAAGGTCAATTTCATATAAGTATAATGATGTTGCAATGTAGCTTGTTGTTAATATGTCCATGTGTAGGTTGTAGTAAAAGGACCGATTGGCTAAACTGGGGAAGAACAAGGCTCGGACTGAATGCCAGCGAGGAATGGTCAAATTTGAAAAAGTAGGAGGTAAATCGACTCTATATTTTTATGTATGTTACATATGGCATACTGAAATTTCTGCGCTCCTGACCGCTCAAAAATATTTAAATGTCGAATATCACATTTTCTATAACATAAGATACTTTTATATTGATTAAAATAATTTTGGCGGGAAGTCGTCTGTCAATTGTTTTTATCACAAGTTAAAGTTCGTCATCCGTAGCAAAAATGGAATTAACGGGAAAAGGTTTTAGGGCGTTGGTTTTATATGATTTTAAAAGTCCATTCTCTCCACAAGATTACACTGCACTGCTTCAAAAGGTCTTTTTTGACAGAATAAGGGTAGCAAACGAGCACACAGTCCACCTGATGGTTAGTGGATTCTGTGGCGCATAGAGATCTACATTTATCCTCAATCAAGAATTAAAATGCAGATGGGTTGTCACTCCTGAGCTCTAAGATGGAATGCCTTGTTTCCAGTAAAAAGGGTCTCCGGTTCTCTACACTCACCCTACAAAACACAGCAGCATTTAGCTCCTATTTTACGCGGGTATCCTGTGAGAGTGTGGTCCTTCTCCGGTCGAGCCTACCCATTCGTGCTACAAGCATAATATACTAGCTGCAGCGTGTTTTTTCAAGTATAAAACTTTTAAGGGGATATTCGAATAGTTTTCATTTTTATTTTGTCTTCAAAGCTTTGATAATAATAAATATAAGATGTTAAATCGCTCATTAATGCTCAGTGAGAGGGAACCCTAAAAGTGACCCAAACGTCTAATAAGGTCACTTGTCATTCGAATAACCCTTTGGAATCGAAAAATAGCTCTTATCCTCACTTTGTTGTTGACTTAGGAGTGTCGATTTTCGTCTTTAATTCTAACTATTATTTTACAAACAGAAATGAAATTATTAGAAGGAAATATTTCGTCGCGTTTTTAGTGCATATTTTAAAATAGTCTCTAAATAAGTAGTTATTCTACGATTTTCTAATTACATTTGACGTATTATTTATATGTTTATGTGTCTGTGTATGTTGTGCGCGTGATGTGATATGAAAAATAATTACTTTTGATACTTATGCAAACTTATTTTTAACTTCCTTCTTTTAGAAACATGAAAATGAATTATTTCTTGCATTGACGCGAACACCACATATTACGTAAAAGTACTTTTACGGAAAACGTATTCGTATAAATAGTTTTTTTCAGTATGAAAATGAAATTCTATAAAATCCGTAATATTAGTTTTTTCATTACCACCAAAAATGTTAACTTAATTAAATGACAGAATTCCAAAGATTTAGTTTATTAATAAGCAATACTCTTTCACTCTTCGAGTCTTCTTTCCAGCATGGTGAGTATAGGTTACTCTCTTACTATTTTGGCCTTGCATAATGAAATAGCCCGCATGTAAACTATGGCTCCCAACTAACTTTAAACTTTAAAATCTTTAAATCTTTCCAGCTCACTCAATTTACTTCCCTTCACTTGATTGCTCTCTCAACCTTTCGTCGCTTCATTCATGCGAAAGAGATGTTCGACGTATGATGGAAATTTTCCGCTTTTTATGATTTATTGTATTTGTATAGCTGGCCCGGCATATATTCAGTCTTTCCGGGTTTTATCCGCGTTCACTTCGTAAATTTTTTCCCGTGTCAATATAACATTCACCTGTCGGGTTTTATTTTGACACTAAACCAACATAATATTACAAATATAAGTTACTTGAGCTCTGAAATTAGAATTTTGTATAAGCTTGACTACAGTGCCGTGATGGCTCAGGGAAAATTATGCAGTACGCGAGCAATTTGGCCTCGATCCAGTCGGAACCAATGAAAATTTTAAGTGCTGATTTACCACGCGGTTTTGCTAGGCAGCTAAGAAAAACGTCGTGGGGAAAACTGCAAACGTATGAGAAATTAAAAAAAAATTCGAAGACTTGTGAAGTCCTCGAACACGCATTTTGACCAGTGGGGGACAGCTTCCTTGCCCTAAAACCCTCTCAGATATGAGAGGAGTTCTGTGCCCAGAGCGGGTTGTGTAAATGTATATTATAATGTTAATTATATATTTAAGAATATAAGCAAGTGAGTTTTCGAACACATTGAAGATTGGGCTTTGTTTTTCTTCCTTTTTCTTTCTTTCTTTATCAGCCGGTGAAATTCTACTGCTAGACATGAGCCTCCTCCATTACTCAGATTAATTTATAAATATTTAATAAAATAAATATTTATTTATATCATCGCGCTTGGCCGTCGGATTGCCAATGATAGTACCGGACCTCTTGCATCTTCGACGCTGATAAAGATGGTTGATAATTGTTGATAGTTAATGATGGGTGATAATTAAGATGTTGATGGATTCTCTTACACCATTTTCACCCGGTAATTTTGCATACATATACCCTTCTCTGTAAGCATCTTATTGCATTCAACTATCCAACCATAAGCATAACCATCTTATTTACGATACACATAAAATGTACAGAGCGACAACTAAGAGCAGCATTTGGTGTGCCAGCAACTGGTGCTGATAACGTCAATGCACCTGCTAAGTTTAAAATATTTATTGAACACAGTTTGTTTAGAAATTTTCATTGTAAAATTAGGTAATACGTGGATGATAATAGCCCCTTGGTAATAGGCTATTACTATCTAATTCAATTTGTTTAAATAATTGATAATTATTATTATGATAAAAACAAAGTTATATGTAATTTATTTTTACCATACAAATACACGTTACGTCACAAAAATAAATTAGTATTGCCAACTTCCCGATTAAAACTAACAGTACATTAAGTTCTTCCATAAAATAAACTACCTAAAATATTAAAAAAATGAAAATGGTTATATCATATTTACAAACAAATTAAAAGAGTACCTAACTAATAAATGTTACTATAGTACTAATGAATATTTTATAAATAATACATACTTAGGTGATAAACTCTGAAATGAGGATATCCGCAGTAGAACCAAAGTGACCGACATAGCCCAACGGATTAGTAAGCTGAAGTGGCAATGGGCCTGCCATATAGCTCGAAGAAACGACAACCGATGGGGCAGAAAGGTTCTCGAGTGGCAGCCTCGTACCGGCAGGCGAAGTGTAGGGCGTCCCCCCACTAGATGGAGTGACGACCTAGTAAGATATGCAGGAAGTCGATGGATGCAGGTGGCTCAGGACCGTGCTTTGTGGCGTTCTTTGGGGGAGGCCTATGTTCAGCAGTGGACTTGTGAAGGGCTGTAATGATGATGATGATGACATACTTAGGTTTTACAAAATGATCACTCATTTAAATTGAATTCTATTTCAATAAATCACAATTACATTCTTATAAGTAGTTGAATACGCTTCCTCTCTCCTAGTCCAAAAATTGCGTGCCCAACAGAGTCCATAACATTGGTCTCACTTAGATTAAGGTTTAGCAATAAAGTAAACTGTTTTTTTTATTACCACTGTATTTCTAGCTTGGCCTTCCCAGGACTGAAGTAGTTTGTAAACCAGTGGTAATTATAAATAAAAATGACTGTCTAATGTGAATAGTATTAGTAAGTATTTTTATAATCTATGTTGAATTGAAAAAAATCTATTATTATTTAAACCAGTGTTGCTAGTTATGTAAAAGTAGTTTATTTTTGTTAAAATATCATAAAAAGATACAAGCTTATACTAAGTGACAGACTCTAGGAAGATCTAATTTCCGCTGTCACCACTTAAGCTCGCAACTTGACATACTTCTTCTTTGCTAAGCGCTGTACATTGTTAAGGGACTTTAACTCTGTTTATTTAATATTATATTTTTAAGATAAGAAATGCTAAACGCCTACCTCATTAAAAATAACACAGTTGCACGTGTTCAATCCTCAATCCATACCCCTTATTTCGATAAGATAATTTAATATCTGGGAAATAATAATTATAAGTTTTTACAAAAATTAAAAGCCGACATTAAATAACTACACAGATGATATTATTTTGAAAAACCTTACGGGTGGTACTTTTACTCCATATTCATACGAGACTATTACTGAAGGTTATACACCGATATAATAAAAAAATAATCTAAAAGTAAAATAATTATTTAAAAAAAAAACATATATTCGAGTTGTGTATCTCCTTCTTTTTTGTATTGTACTGTCTTTTCTGTCTGTTTTGTTTGTTTGTATTGATAGTGAATTATAGTGTATGAAATAGTAACAGAACAAGGAAAACACTTTCCTCATTTTAAGGGCCTATATAAGTGATGAGTGATCCTATTAGAGGGTTAAAATATTTGGCGATATTGTTGGCTACAAAGGATGGTATTGAAATAGGGCGTGCGTGATTTGTATGCCTCCGTATGATGATTTTATTATTTTATAATACATTTATCTTTGTGGTCGTCATATTTTTCCTTGTATAAATAATGTTTGCTACGTAGGTCACTCAATAAGTTTTGAGATATACAAAAAATATTCTAGATCCTATTAATATTTAGTTAACATCTTTTCAAAATATTCTCCATCATGCTCTATACAAAGTTCCATTCGCCTTAACCAACTCTGAAAACACTTTTGCAACTCTTGATCTCACAGGTCGGAAATCGCTTCGTATTAGGTAGCCACGGCTTCTTCGGCGCTTGAAAAATCTTTGATTTTTTAAACACGCCCAGATGCCCCGTTTTTAAAACGTAGACGCATTTCATGACACCAATCAACACGAGTCTGTTTTTCGCTTTCGGAGAGCAAACGAGGGATCCATCGACAACAAAGCTCCCTCACTCCAAGATGTTGATGTAGGATGGTATGAATGCTCCCCGAACTAATGCCTACAATCTTTTCGATGTCCGTATATGTGATTCGTGGGTCTTCTCGTACCAACATTTCAGTAGTCCATACATTTTCTGCCGTTACTGCTGTTTGCGGAGCCCCGGTTATTTGGTCAAATTTAAGATTTATTTTACCCCTTTTCAATTCAGAAAACCACCTAAAATTGTTGCGTGTGATGGAACTGAGTCCCCTAATGCTGATTGTAACCGTTGTAAACTTAATTGTTTCGTTAAACCAAATTTAAACTCATAATATATCATAGCGCGCAAATGTTCACGGTTAAGATCCATCGTTTTAAATGAAATGCGCGGGAAGCGTTGCAGGAAAATTAATAGATCTTTGTTTTTTTTTTTTTTAATATTGAGCAATTAGCTTATGGGGTTCTATTTTTAAATAAATTTTCTTTTTAGAAACATATAACACGGGTGCGTTCCATTTTTAAATTTCGAGCATCTCAAAACTTATTGAGTGACCTACGTATCCTACCGACCGTAAGGTAAGATATAGCGGTATTTGTGTTAAATTAATTATTGACGCTGAGTCGACAATTCCTTCTGTTCCATTTATTCCTCTTAGTAAAGAACGTATAAAATAGGCCTTTCTTTACAGTTCATCTAAACTAATATAGCCCAAATATTATACACCTAACTATTCCGCTTTCCTAGAAACTTAATCATTCTCAAAGGAGCCATGTGTAAAATAAGATTATTTTTATGTTATTTCGTAATATGAAGCCTAATAAAATACCACATAATTTAATTTATTATGTGGATATAATGAACATCCACATAATTTTCCTCATTACTTCTCTAAAGATATTATAATATTAACGATGAGGTTTCTTGGGAATATGAAACTATGATAATATATTGTTGTATAAATACGTTTAATTAAGTACCTTCAAGTAGCTCAAGTAATTAACGCCCTCTAATATCGCAATATCTTAATTCAAAATTCACAGTTTTTTCTTACTTAATATCCGATTTTATCAAAGCTCTGAAACTTTTAATATTCTTACTACATTGCCAAATATGTTCAAGTAGTATACTTATTGTAATAAAGTTTATATAACTGAGTCATGACATTTAATTACATATTTTACGTCTTCATTATAAGATTAGATTGTAGTTGTGGACTCCTGAAGATAAGCTTCTCCTAAGCTGCGAAAAATCGCTAATAAGAACATATTTGGTAGAGGGATTTCCTACCATGTTCGTTATACCTTATAAAGTGCTCCGCACTACTGGTTTAGGTATAAACGGAAGCTTATCGACTAAACGTGCAATAATATTTTGAAGATGAGCTAAATTAAGAATACACTTAATCGAAGAGTGTGAACGTGAGAGAGGTGTGTCATGATTATGCCAAATGTAAGTCCGCAGTTGCTACCTGTTTATATGAAGTTATGTAAAATGTTTGGTGTGACATGGTGTTTATTAAAGAAGTGAGCCCCTAAATCCATTGTAGCAAACGCTAGATTTTCATTTTTGTTCGTTGTAATAAATAAAATGCGATAATCGCAGTTCAATGTCACTTATTTTTATTATGACTTCCTTAGATAAGTTTGGACAAGAAAATGCAGCCTGGCACTGTCCCAAAAAAGTAAAACAATATACTTAATAATATGTTAATTAAATGTTTTTATATGGCCTATCAAATGCTCACCCTTGAATGCAGGCCTCCTATATATATTGTCTCATAAGGAGGTTTTTTTATAGGATAGGGTGACAAACGGACACACATTCCACCTGATGGTAAGTGGTTACTGTGACCCATAGACATTTATATCTATCCTCAATAAAGACTCAAGATGCAGATGCGTTCGCGTCACCCGTGAGGACTAAGATGGAATACCTTTTTGCCAGTAAAAAGGGTCTCCGGTTGTCTACACTTACCATACGAAACACAGCAGCGTTAAGCTGCTATTTTACGCTGGTTTTCTGTGAGAGCGTGGTCCTTCCCCGGTTGAGCCGACCCAATCGTGCTACAACTATACTACTTATATAGCTGCAGTATGGCTCTACCACGTAAAGATTTAAAGTATTTGTCATAGCTGTTTTTTGCAATCAAGAAGATGCTGCTGTCCATTTCCTGTTTCATTTCCTTCTGTCGCCTCTTATGATAAGCACGGGATGGTGGGTGTATTGTCTGCTATCTTCTCTAATCAGTTTAGTGTAACACAGGCTCGGCACGCATTTAACTAAACACGTCCAGTCTCGCCCGAGGCTCTCATGTAACTAAGGCGGTGCGCTCGAGACAGTGAATTATATATAAATGTATGTTTGTGTATTTGTGCATGGTAAATTATTAATAAATAAAACAAATAACAATATTTACTGTATATTATATATAAATGCAAACACTACAGTGGGGTAGTGGATATTCCTACTCCACCACGTGTGTGTGTGTGTGCATGCGTGTGTGCGTGCATGCGTGAGTGCGTGCGTGAGTGCGTGAGTGCGTGCGTGGTGTGTGCGTGCGTGCGTGTTTTTTTTATAGGATATGGGTGACAAACGAGCACATAGTCCACCTGATGGTAAGTGGTTGCTGCGACCCATAGACATCTACATCTATCCTCGTTTGCGAATCAAAATGCAGATGCGTTGTCACCCGTGAGGACTAAGATGGAATGCCTCTTTTCCAGTAAAAAGGGTCTCCGGTTCTCTACACTCACCTTACGAAACACAGCAGTGTTAAGCTGCTATTTAACGCTGGTATTCTGTGAGAGCGTGGTCCTTACCCGATCGAGCCCACCCATTCGTGCTACAGCTATATTACTAATATAGCTGTAGCATGGCTCTACTACGTATAAAACGTGTGTGTGTTTGTGGGAGAAAGTGTGAAGTCTGTTTACGAGTGTGAGAGTACATAAGGTAGTATTATCAAGTAATGATTCAGTTTCTTAATAATTAAGTTTTCTACCACTATGTAACAGCTTTTTTACAGTCATGGTATTAGTTATATATAAAAGTTAAGTTATATTAAATTCGGTAAAATTTCACGTTTTCACAGATTTAATCAAAGATTAAATTTGTAAAACAATTAACGAAATGACGACAATCAACGAAATCAACAGAAATATATTTCTTAACACTCTACCACAATTAACAAGCAACTTCAACTGTCGTTTACAACATTGTTTCGGTGTATAGGGATATAATTTGTATATTAATATAAAAACTAAAGCACGTTAACTTTGAGGCATTATTAGAGGCGGTTTTGAACAAAAAATACTGCCCTAGTTCATTTGTGTCCTTATAAAATTCAGAGCACGCGCTCTCATATTAAGGAAAATGTTGCAAGTTTGCTCGACAAGTTATAAGCGATTTGCTTACAAAATTTCTTTGATTATTTAGCGGAGCGTTTTCCGGAGTGCTTAGCGTGTTGTCATGCCAAACAAAACTCCCATATTGCAGTGTCTGATGTGATGAATATTTAAGTTGTACGGAGAATGCAACGCCTTACGGAGGTTAATATTGCGTATGGGTTTGTCTTACCGATTACTCTGTTGCGTTTAAAGAGTAAGAGAGCCAGTTAGAGAGAAACTGAAACAGAAGATGGGCAGCAGCATCGTCCTGTTAACAACTCAAAATAACAAAAAACTGCGGTCGCGAAGCGTGACAATAATGACAAAATACCCCTTGTGAGGCTATCTATGGGGGACGCCTATGTTCAGCAAGGGACAATTATGGACTGTAATAGATAGAGCCAGAATGATTACAGACAGTTCACGAACTTTGTTCACAAGTTATGGTCTAAAGGTTTGAAGTTGGTTGTAAACTGTTATCTTGTTTGTTACTCTTAAAACATGCATTTATATCACCTTGTTAAGGTATGTCAGCCTAGCCTAACCACGTGAAGCATAACAGAGCATTAAGCCACTATTTTACGCTGGTATTTTGTGTGTGCGTGATTCATTCCCAGTCGAGTCAAACCATCCGTGCTGTAGCCATAAAATAGCTTGAATAAAAAATTTATTCGTACTAATTAGTTTCATTTCTAGTGTAGGTGCACTTACATATTGTTTCAGTGTGCGTAAAATCGATAGTCAAATATTATTATCAAGTACAGTCAAAACGAAAAGTGAACGTGAAAATAATTTTGCGGTAATGTAAGAAAATATTTAACATGTCTTTTTCTGAGAACAAACGAAAGATTGGCCCGCCATCGTGACATAAAACATCTATAATTGTGTGATATAAAAGTGAGCACTTTGCTTATGAATTGTACCACATTAAAAAAGCAGTGTAGGAAATCCGCCAATTTGCAGCACCTTCAAGTGTCATTAAGACAAAAATGCAAAAGCGGCTTTTCTTTATCTGGTGTTGCTTCTGTAATCAAATGCTCATTATTTTATATTAGAATATTCACTGAGGGCTTAAAAATTTAATAAAAAATAAAAAATAAATTATTTTTACAAACTCATAAACAGGCATAAGCCTCTACTATACGAGTATATCCTCCTATTTAATTTTACCGTAATACACTTGTTACACGTCTTACCCTCTATATGAAAACATAACAAAACTATAACTAAAACTAAGGATTTAAAAAAAATAAAAGCCACAATAATAACTATTTTACTTTTTAAATACTCTTTGTTCCAATACAATGGTATGTATTTTCGAATGTTTCATTGATCCACTGAGCCCATCGGATCAGTAAAAATTGGCTGTGGGCCGCCCGGAAAAAGGTTCGCCAGTAGCAGCCTCGTAGCTGTAGGAGAAGTATAGGGTGGTCCCCACTAGATTGAGTAACAACCTGGTAAGTTATGCTGTAAGTTAATAGATGCATGTAGCTTAGTACCGTGTTTTATGGCGTTTCTTGGGGTATGCCTATGCCGTATAGGTACAGGCCGTAACGATACCTTACTAATAACTTTCATTAATAATTTATTGGTCAGCATACATTTATATATAAATAAAAATCAATTGCCGCATATTATGAAAGATCATCACATGAGAACGGCTATATCAATCAATAATGAATTTTTGTGTGTTTTTGTTTGAGTCGCTGTATAGTTTATCTTCACTTTTTATCCGGGTAGGTGGCGCTGCTGTTGAGATTCAAAAATCACCCATGCGAAGCCGGGGTGGATCACTAGTTTTTAATAAAAATTACTGAGCGTCTAGACTGAAAATTAAATGGTCTCAACTTTTATAATAACTTTTTAATTAGTTATACCTATTCATAATTAATATGAAAAATATGGGATTTTTAAATTAAAATAACGCTAGTATCACATAGATAGTTAAGTAATGTAACAGTCTATGTACGTCTTACTATTATATACAGGCCTCCTTTTTTTCCCGAAATGGTTTAAGGGCACTTAAGCGAGTCATTTACATATACCCCCCTCACCCCCCGGTTAGTGGCGGGTAAGAATACCCACTACCCTACATATTTTCCGTGGGTGAGACGAGGGAAATTGAGGCGGAATATGGGCAGCAGCATCTTTCTGATAACAGCAAAATGACAGTAAAGAAATTGCAGATGCGAACCTCCTCGCTAAGCATGGCAACCCCCCATGAATAAAGTTACGAAGATACGGCCCCGTCCCCGGCGGCCCTGCTATTCTTGGCTACGGTGGCGACCATGGTAAAGGCGGGGCAGGGTGTGCTAAGAATCTCCGGTTAAAGTTCGGTTGCGACTTATGACGACACGACCTGGCAACATATTACGCACGCACCCTTAGGAATGACGAGAAGAACATGGAGCTGGAAGAAGAGAATTTGCGCTGGAATATTATAGGATTATCCGAGGTTCGAAGAGAGGGGGAGGACGCGGTAATCCTCGAATACGGCAACTTGTTCTATCACCGGGACGGCCAATTCGACACTTCCTTAGCACAGATGGTCCTAAGGTGGTGTCGAATTTATCGTCCACAAGTCTCTCGTTAACTACGAAGTAAGGATTGAGAGTATATCGACGAGGGTTGCGTACGTTATACTAAACGATATTCGCTGAAGGCCATACAGATTTACGCACCAGCCTCGGCACATCCCGATGAGGAGGTGTAGGAAATGTAAGAGGATATATCTAAAGCCATGCATTCCTCCAAAACGCACTATACGGAGTTAATAGGAGACTTCAACGCAAAACTAGGCGCAAGAGAGAATGGTAACCTGATAGTAGGAAAATTTGGAATAGGGCAACGAAAACTCCAAAACGGGCTCCAATAGAGATCTGTCTGCCAGGTTTTATGGGCAGCTGTACACATCATCGTTGGAGTCACAATCAGGTGTGAGTAACGATCCAAGACCAAGACTTATCCGACCCTATTCCGATGATATCCTGGACGTTAGTCTGAGCGAGATTAGAATGGCTCTCCAGTACCTTAAAAAAATCCGCGGGTGAGGATGGAATTACAGCGAAACTTCTGAAATCGGGTGGAAAACCGGTTGAAGTTCTTCAGTTCATCCTTATCCTATAAAAAATAGGACATCAGCACCATAGACCACATACGGGTATGTGGTCGGCAAATAGTACAGAAGGCCTAGGAGTACATTTTGTCACTATATCTTGCATATGTGGACTATGAGAAAGCCTTTGATTCCGTCGAAATTTGGGCAGTGCTGCAGTCCCTTCAACGGTGCCAAGTTGACTGTTGGTATATCGAAGTGCTGAAATATTTGTACAGTAGGGTTACGATGGCTATCCGAGTACAGAACCAGAGTACGAAACCTATCCAACTGCAGAGAGGTGTAAGACAGGGTGACGTTATATCCCAGAAGTTCTTCACTGCTGAGTTGGAATACGTTTTCAAGCTACTGGACTGGAAACAATGCGGTATTAATATCAATGGCGATTACAACACTTACCTTCGATTTGCCACCGATATAGTTCTTATGGCAGAATCGCCAGAGGACGTAATCACTATGCTCAATGACCCCAATAGTGTCGCCCAACGAACAGGTCTTAAGATGAACATGGCTGAAACAAAGATCATGTCCATGTCACACCTATGCCGGTAGTTGTTGAGAGCACTAAGCTCGAAGCTGTTGACGAGTATGTTTACCTGGGACAAATAGTCCGACTAGGTAAGTCCAACTACGTCTGAGAGGTTAATCGACGGATTTAACTCGACTGGGTAGCGTTCGGGAAATTACGACACATCTTCTTGTCAGGTAGGTCTCAAAACTTGAAAACGAAATTGTACAGCCATGCGTGTTATCAGTGATGATTTATGGATCTGAGATGTGGTTTTTCACTGCTGGCCGTATGATGAAGTTCAAAGTCGCTCAGCGAGCTATGGAGACGGCTATGCCCGGGGTTTCTTTGCGTGATAAATTTAAAAATGAGGATATCCGCAGTAGATCCAGAGTGTTCGACATAGCCCAACGGATTAGTAAGCTGAAGTGGCAATGAGCTGGCCATATAGCTCGAAGAACCGACAACTAATGGGGGAAAAAGGTTCTCGAGTGCAGGCAAAATGTAGGGCGTCCCCCCACTAGATGGAGTGACGACTTGGTAAGACATACAGGAAGTCGATGGATGCAGGTGGCTCAGGACC